TTTATATATGTATGAATATGTTTTTGTTTTTGGTCTTTTTGAGACGATTTTTGCCTTCTTGTTGCCCCAGGCCTTATTGCAACTGGCACGATCCGTTTGCTCCACCGGCAGTCTCGTGCTTTCCCAGTTTCAGCAATTCTCCTGCCTCAAGCCCCCACGGTAGCGCTAGGATTACAGGGCATGCGCCACCGAGGGCCCGGCTAATTTTGTATTTTTAATAGAGACGGGTTTCTCCATGTTGGTCAAGGGGTGTCTCAAACTCCCAAACTCAGACTTGAAAAAAAAAAATCCACCCACCTCGCCCCCAAGTTGCTGGGATTTGCCGGGCGGTGAGGCCACCCTGCCGGCGCTGGGCCAGTTAATTTGTTCTTTTAAAAAATACATATTCGGCCAGGCGCGGAGTGGCTCAAACAACCGTGTAATCCTCAGCACTTGGGGAGGCCGAGGTGGGTGATCACCTGAGGCTGGGCAGTTCGAGACCAAGGCCTGGGCAAACATGCACGAAACCACGTGCCATACTAGAAAATACAAAAATTACGCCGGGGCGTAGTGCGCCATAGCCTGTTGGGAATCCCCACACTCATCTATCTGGACGGCTGAGGCAGGGAGAGTTGTTTTCAAATCTGGGGAGGGCAGAGGTTGCAGTGGCCAAGGATTTGCGCCATTGCATTCCCAGCCTGCATGATGACAGAGCGGACTCTGGCTCCAAAAAAGGGCAAAAAAAAAAAAAAAATTAACTCGGAAACAAAACCCACAGTATCTGGTCAAATTATTGCAATAATTAAAATCCAATTACAAGCTATACCCATAAAGAGTAAAGAATTATTTTTATTTCTAAATTAGACGTATTAAAATGGTTGCAATAGGCCAGGCGTGGTGGCTCACACCTGTATTCCCAGCACTTTGGGAGGCCGAGGCAGGTGGATCATTTGAGGTCAGGAGTTCGAGACCAGCCTGGCCAACATGGTGAAACCCCATCTCTACAAAAATACAAAAATTAGCTGGGCATGGTGGCCTGTGCCTGTAGTCCCAGCTACTCTGGAGCCTGGGGCAGGAGAATCGTTTGAACCCAGAAGGTGGAGGTTGCAGTGAGCCGAGATCGTGCCACTGCACTCTAGCCTGGTGACAGAGTTAGACTCCGTCTCAAAAAAAAAAAAGGTTCCTATATTAGCCAATAATTTTCATCAAAGAATTGTGAGGCAAGGCTGTGTTCACTCAGAAACCACATCATACACTTCTTTTCTCTGCTGTCCAGATTTTGCAGTCATTGCTCGGTGGGTGTAAAATTTTTAGTCAGGGTCTAGAGCAGACAATTTTTAACCACTTATGCTGGTTTTGAATATTTCAGTTCCTTCTTTTGGCCTACAGTCATTTTTCTTTTCAAAAATATGAAAGCAAATCACATTTTTGGTAAAACTCTTTTTCTTCTATAGAGAGAAATAGCCCGGAAACTTGCAAATCCTAAGCAACCAACAAATCCTTTTCTAGAGATGGTCAAATTTCTGTTGGAAAGAATCGCACCTGTGCACATTGATTCAGAAGCCATAAGGTAAGCCAAGAAGTATATTCACTCAGAAACAGATAATCTGAAACTACAATTGTTGTTAATTTAAATTCTGGGTTCCTAAAGATACCTAAAAACCTCCGTATGTCTCTTTTTAATCACAGGGGTGTACATCATTCCAGTTGAAGGGAAAGCCTTCTCATTTTATGATCTTTGACTTTAATGCTTTCTGTTTTTAAAGAGTTCTTGTGTTTATTTTTAGCTTACGCGTTCTCATTAAAGAAAACTTAGAACAAAGAGTAAGATAGAAAAAGGAATATTTTAGATCTGTGTGGCTGTTGACCAACCTCTCAGTTTGCTTAAGCATTTTAATGGCCCTACAATATTCTGTAGTACATACTATACCACTGTTCATTTAATGTGTGAGAACAGAATGATACATTGGAAAGAGGACAGGATTATCTTTAGACAAATTTGGTTTCAAAACATAAGTCTACTTTGAGGCTTTGGATAAAGTCTTTGAATTTCATTTATTTTCAACTTTAATGTGGGCATAAAATCGTGGTGGATGATTATGTTAATTTGAGATAGTATATAAAGGTAAGCAGCCTGGCATCATAGACGTTAGTTAAGAGCTATTGATTTTTTATTACATATTCTCATGATTTCAGACTTTTCAAACTTCTGGTAATGCTTTTCTCTTGCACCAATCATTTTTCCAGTAGATAAGCTATGTATCTTTCCATGTTGAGTTACTGTGCAGCACTTGTTGGTTCTTTTTCCAAACATCTTAGAATTCAGAGATTAGTTCCAGTGCCCAAGCTTCACTGTTTGTTTCACCTTAGGTGAATCACTGATGTGGCTGTATTGAAATGCTGATTGTCATTTGCTAGGGCTTTCATAACAAAATACCCCAAAGTGCCTAACCTGAACAAAAGGAATTTATTTTCTCACAGTTCTGGAGGTGTAAGGCTGAGATTCAAGGTATCAGCAATTTTTAATTTTTTTCCTGAAGCCTCTCACCTTCATTTGCAGATGGCTTCCTTCGCACTGTGTCCTCTCCTGGTCTTTTCTCTGTGCACCCAGCATGTCTATGTCCTAATCTTTTATAAGAACAATAGTCCTATTGGATTAGGCCCCACCCATTCAGTTTTATTTTACCTTGATTATCTTTTCAAAGGCCCTGTCTCTAAATACAGTCACATTCTGAGATACCAGGGATTAGAATTAATATGAATTTGGGAGAAACACATGTCAGCCCATAACATAATAAATGTACATGTATTTGAGCTATGTCTGATAATTTAATACATTTATACAGTTTGTGAAGATCAAATGAGTGTATTGGTGATATACATCACCGTAAATATTCATCTTTATGCTAGAAACATTCAAATTGTCTTCTAGCTATTAAACTACAGTCACTCTCCCAATCTCTAAAACACTAGTCGTTCTATATTAATTAACCTCTCTTCATTCCCCCTTTCTCACCCTTCCCAGCTTCTTTTAACTACCAGTCTACTGTGTCATCATGAGATTCACATTTTTAGCTCCCACATATGACTGAGAATATGCAATATTTGTTTTTTTGTTCTTGGCTTGTTTTATTTAACGTAATGAGCTCCATTTCCATACGCATTGCTACAAATGGCAGGATTTCGTTCTTTTTTTATGGCTGAATAATTTTTCATTGTACATATATACCACATTTTCTTTCTTCATTCGTTGATGTGCACTTAGGTTGATTCCATATTGGCTATTGTGAATAGTGACGCAATAAACATAGGAGTGCAGATATCTCTTCAATATGTTAATTTCCTTTTTAAAAAATATATACCTGGTAGTGGAATTGCTAGATCATATGGTAGATCTAGTTTTAGTTTTTTGAGGAACCTCCATACAGTTTTCCTTATTGGCTATGCTAATTTACATTTCCAACAACAGTGTACAAGGGTTCACTTTTCTCCACATCCTCGCCGGCATCCGTTATTCCCTGTCTTGTTGATAAAAAGCCTTTTGTTTTTTCTTTTTTTTTTTTTTTTTTCTTTTTTGCTGGAGTCTTGCTTTGTCGCCAGCTGGAGTGCAGTGGCGCCATCTCAGCTCACTGCAATCTTCGCCTCCCAGGATCAAGCAGTTCTCCTGCCTCAGGCTCCCAAGTAGCTAGGACTACAGGCGCACGCCACCATGCCCAGCTGATTTTTGTTTTTTAGTAGAGACTGGATTTCACCATGTTGGCCAGGATAGTCTCAATCTCTTGACCTCATGATCTGCCTGCCTCAGCCTCCCTAAGTGCTGGGATTACAGGCGTGAGCCACCGCACCTGGCCTCTTTTCCCACTTTTAAATTGGAATTTTTGTGTGTGGTTTTGATTTTTTTGTCTGTCTTGTGTTTTTTTGTTTTGTTTTGTTATTTTGCAGTTGAGTTGTTTGAACTCCTTCTATGTTCTGGTTATTAATCTGTTGACAGATGGATAATTTGCAAGTATTTTCTCATTCTGTGGGTTGTCTCTTCGCTTTTTTTATTGCTCCCTTAGCTGTGCAGAACCATTTTAGCTTAATGTAATCGTATTTTTCTATTTTTGCTTTGGTTGCCTGTACTTTTGGGATGTTAACACAAACAAACTTGGCTCAGATCAACGTCTTTAAGCATTATCCTAGCATTTTCTGCTAGTAGTTTCATCCACTAGGTCTTAATCCATTTTGATTTATTTTTTAGAGGGTGAGGGATAGGGGCATATCACTGATGAACGTAAATGCAAAAATCCTCAAAAATACTAGCAACCTGATTTCAATAACACATTAAAAATATCATTCATCATGATAAAATGGAATTCATCCCAGGGATGCAGGGATGGTTCATTAATCATATATCAATAAACATGATTCATATGAATAGAACCAAGAATAAAAACCGTATAGTCATTTTAATAGGTACTTAAAAAACATTCAATAAAATTCAACATTACTTTATGATAAATACCCTCAACAAACTAGGTATAGAGGGAGCATAGCTCAAAATAATAAAGGCCATATGTGACACACCCACACTGAACATTGTGCTGAATGGGGTAAATTGAAAGGCTTTCATCTGATATCTGGAATAAGATATGGAAGCCACTTCTGCCACCTTTGTTCAACGAATTACTGGAAGTCCTGGCCAGAGCAATTAGTCAAGAGAAAAAAAGGCCATCCAAATTTAGCAAGAAAGAAGTCAAATTAGCCTTGTTCGCAGATGACATTATCACAGAAGAAGCTAAAGACTCCACCGAAAAACTGTTAGAACAGATAAATGAATTCAGTATACAAAATCAACATACACAACTCAGTAGCATTTACATATGCCAACAGCAAACAATCTGAAAAATCAAGAAAGCAATCTTATTTACAATAGCTACAAAGAATATTAAATACCTAATAATCAACTTAACCAAATAAGTGAAAGATCTATTACAAGGAATACTTTAAAACGCTGATGGAAGAAATTAAAGACAACACACAAAAAATGGAAAGATATTCCATGCTCATGAAATGGAAGATTTTTTTTTTAATTTTTCTTTTTTTTTTTTTTTTTTTTTGAGACGGCATTTGGCTCTTGTTGCCCAGACTAGAGTGCAATGGCGTGATCTCGGCTCACTGCAGCCTCCCCCTCCCGTGCTCAAGCAGTTCTCCTGCATCAGCCTTCCGAGTAGCCGGTATTAACAGGCATGCGCCACCACACCTGCCTAATTTTGTATTTTTAGTAGAGACACGGTTTCTCCATGTTGGTCGGGCTGGTCTCAAACTCCTGACCTCAGGTGATCTGCCCACCTTGGCTTCCCAAAGTGCTGGGATTACAGGCATGAGCCACCATGCCTGGCCAAAATTAATCTTGTTTAAAATGACAGTACTACTCAAAGTAATTTACAGACTAAATGCAATTTCTATCAAAATACAAATGACATTCTCCACGGAAATAGAAAAAACAATCCTAACTTTTACATGGAACCACAAAAGACTCAAATAGCCAAGCAATATGAGGAAAAAGAACAAAAGCTGGAGCGATCACACTACCTGACTTTAAAATATACTACAAAACTACAGTAACCAAATCAACATGATACTGGCATAAAAACTAGACACATCTAAAGGAACAGAATTGAGAACCCAGATACATGTTCGTGCTTTTTTGGCCAGCTCATTTCCAACAGAAGTGTCAAGCACATACAAGGGGGGAAGGGATAGTCTCTACAATATTGTGCTTGGAAAACTGACTAGCAGAAGAATGGAACTAGACCCCTATCTCTCATCTCTCAACATATAAAAAAATCAAAATTGACTTCTTTTTCTTTCTTTGTTTTTGAGACAAGGTCTTGCTGTGTCACCCAGGCTGGGGTAGAGTGGCATGATCATAGTTCACTGCAGCCTTGACCTCCTGGGCTCAGGTAATGCTCCTCCCTCAGCCTCCAGAGTAGATGGGACCATAACCCATGCCACCACAACTGGCTAATTTTGTGAACGTGCTTTTTTTGTTTTTGTTTGTTTTGGTTTGGTTTTGGTAGAGACGGGGTTTTGCCATGCCATCCAGGCTGGTCTCAAACTCCTGGACCCAAACAATCCACCCACCTTGCCTCCAAGAGTACTGGGATTATAGGCATGAGCCACCAAACCCAGCCCTTTTTTGTTAAGATTTTCTTTTTTTTTTTTCTCTTTCCTTTTTTGGATATGGGGTCTCACTCTGTCGCCCCAACTGAAGTGCAGTGGCATGATCCTGGCTCACTGTTGTGTAGGCTCAAGCAATCTCAGACCTCAGCTTCCTGAGTAGGTGGAACTATAGATGTGCATCACCATGCTCGGCTAATTTTTTAAAAGTTCTTTTGTAGAGAAGCAGTTTTGCCACGTTGCCCAGGCTGGTCTCGAGCTCCTGGGCACAAGCGATCTGCCCACCTTGGCCTCCTAAAGTGCTGGTATTTCAGGCATGAGCCACCATACCTAAGTCTCGTCTCGTCTCGTCTCTTCTCTTCTCCTTTTTCTTTCTTTTTCTTTCTCTTTCTCTTTTTTTTTTTTTTT